TACAAAGCAGAGCAGACCAGGAGTCACAGTGATTTTTAACTATGTACAGGTTTAATATTACAAAAATAATATACAACTTGTAACCATAAACTTCTATACATATACATACATACATACACACACACGCACATATATATCTATATCTATATCCACACACACACATACACACATATATATACACACACACATACATACTTATTTACACAGCTCTCTCTCTATATGTGTGTGTGTGTGTGTGTTTATGTGTGTATATATATATATATATATATATAAAGGCTATTTGCAGATATGACTTAACCCAAATAAAAGTACTAATTAACTCCAAACTCTAGCATAGGCCTAATTTCCTGTGGCCTTCAGGTTAGTCTGCAGCCCCTGCCCCTTGTCAGGTTCCTCGAGACCTGAGGGGGAGGGGCCACTCCATGATAAAAGAGAGGTTAATCAACAGATCAATACCAAAGACATTTTGGCAGTGATGGGCCAATAATTAAACATTCACAAACAAGTTACAATGACCCAGGATGCAACAGGGGTGACTTAAATCATTAAGGAGCACATCTGCGAGGGGCCAGCAGGAGAGATCATGCCCAGGGGAAATCAACATGGGTTCATCAAAGGCAGGTCCTGCCAAACCAACCTGATGGCCTTTTATGACCAGGCAGCTAAATCCCTGGATGATGGTGTCACCATGGACATAGTCTTTCTGGACTTTAAGAAGGCCTTTGACACTGTCTCTCACCCCATTCTAATTCATTAACTGAGCGACTGTGGCATTGATGCCTACACAGTTGGATGGGTAAAAAATTGGCTGATGTGGCACACTCAGAGAGTAGCGGTGAATGGGATGTACTCAACCTGGTGAGATGTGAGCAGTGGGGTACCCCAGGGCTCGGTCCTCGGGCCAGTACTGTTTAATATCTTCATCAACGACTTGGACGAGGGGGTGGAAAGCACGCTGTCCAAGTTTGCTAATGACACTAAGATGTGGGGAGAGGTAGGCATGCTTGAATGGAGAGAGAGGCTGCAAATAGATTTAGACAGACTAAAAAAGTGGGCAGATGAGAATAGGATGGGGTCCAGTGTAGATAAATGCAGGGTGCTGCACCTTGGGAGAAGGAATCCACAGCATACATACAAGCTAGGAAGTTCCCTTCTTGAAAGCACAGAGGTGGAACGTGACTTTGGAGTCATTATTGACTCCAAGATGAACATGAGCCGCCAATGCCAGACTGCAGCCAGCAAGGCCAGCCATACCTTGTCATGCATCCAAAGATGCATCTCAAGCCGGTCCAGAGAGGTGATACTCCCCCTCTACGCGACATTGGTCTGGCCTCAACTGGAGTACTGCATCCAGTTCTGGGCACCACACTTTAAGAAGGATGTGGCCTGCCTAGAGAGGGTTCAGAGGAGGGCCACCCTCTTGGTTGGGGGGCAAAAGGGCAGGCCCTATGAGGAGAAGCTGAGAAACCTGAACCTGGGATTTGGTGGCTGCCTACAAACTCATTAGGGGAGATCAGCAGCAAATAGGAAGAGCCCTATTCCCCCCATCAGCACCTGGGGTGATGAGGAACAATGGCCAGAAGCTGCTAGAGAATAGTTTCAGGTTAGAGATTAGGAGGCACTATTTCACTGTCACGGTAGCTAGGATCTGGAACCAACTTCCTAGGGAAGTGGTCCTTGCTCCTACCTTGGGTAAATCAAAAAGAGGTTGGATGAACACCTGTCTGGGGTCATGTGATCCCTGTGTGTGCTCCAACCAGTGGCAGGGGGTTAGACTACATGATCTATTCAGGTCCCTTCTGAGCCCTAACTACTATGAAACTATGACTCTTAAGTGCTTCACAATGCCTTACATTATATTTGTCCTTTCTGCCAAAGAGCAATAGGAATTTTATGTTCCCAACTCTCTTCTTCCATATGGCTGTGGTTTGTAAACAAACACAGCATTTCTCCTAGGAGAAAGCTTTTTGTCTCAGGATCCTATAGACATGCCAGTCATTGATCTGCTTTAAGTATCTGTGAAGTAGGAAAGATGGAATCTGCCAACACTTTCTCTACTGGGATAATGCTGTGTACTCTGTGGACACATCCAGATGAGCACAGATGTGCAGTGTGTGGCACTGCATACCCATCTGCTGTGCCACATACCATACATACAGGCATCCCCCAGAATCAAAAAACCCACACCGAGAAAAAGTGGGGTGGCAAATGTGGCATCAGCACACACTGCCCAAAACAGAGCCATACTCTGGCTTCTGGCCATACTTCCAGCTACAGGAGTGCTGCAGCTGCAACTTCCTGAGGCCCCCAGGATGGACCCCAGGTACAGCTGCTGGGGCAAGCAGTGTTGCTAGCACCAGCCTCCTCTACCCCAGCTGGGTTCCCCAGGGACAACTAACAGTGGCACAAGGTGTACCACTGCTACTGGTCCTCAGGCAAACATATGTTTGTGCTCATCTGGACGCAGCCTGTGAATTAATAGCATCTATTTAAAATTAAATGTCAGTCATTCCAGGGCCAAGCCTGTCAGTCAGCCATCCTCATCCCACCCCAATCACTGTTCCAGTTATGGATCCACCATGTTTCAGGCCAGCCAGCAGAAGCATGGAGCAGCCCACACACTCCTGGCAGATTGACAGGGACAAGAGCCCAGCTGCAGGCAGGGTGCTGATTGCAGGCTGCCTAAGAGGAGTGGTCCAGTTACAAAGGATAATTATCTGTCCCACGGGAAACTAAAAGGCTCTTGGGAACTAACAGCTAGAGAGAACACAGTGAGATAGAGAGGGAGAGAGGTATCAGGCTAGCAGTGGCAGAATTGAACCAGGGTACTCTCACAGTATCTGGGAAAAGGCTCACGGGCTGTGAGGCTGGAAGGAGCAGCACTGAGACCAGGAGAGGGAACTCGTGAGAGTGAGAGTAAGACTGGACCGTGGCACTGAGGGAGCAGCATGAAGCTGGCAGAACCTTCTCGGGAAGAGAACACACAACTGAGTCACCCCTTTATGAACTGGTTTTATGGACTGTTTGAGGTAGTAATAACCCTGAATTCACTATGCCACCTTATAGTAATTTTATCTAGCTCTTATTTTAGCTCTTTTTTTTTTTCCTGTTTACTAATGAGAAAGTCATGTGGGACTCTTTCAAAAGCTTTACTAGAATCCACACATTGTATGTCCATAGCATTCCCTTCATTCACCTAGTTACCTGCTCTGTCAAAAAAGGAGATCAAGTTGCTTTGGCATGATTTAATCTTAACAAATCCATACTGTCTACTTACGATCAACCTGTCTTCCTCCAGATGGTCACAAATTGACTACTTTATCATTTTCCCCAGTCATTCCTGGGTATTGAAGACAATCTGACTGGTTAATAGGTCAAGTTAATAGTTTCCAAGATCTTCCCTTTCCCCTTTCTTATAGATGGCCACTATGTTGTAAATATTATAGCCACAATTTTGTAACTATTATGACTAGAGCTCAAAGATCTTTTTTTGCCAGTTTCCTCAGCACCCTGGGATGATTTTTTTTTTCATCCCATACCATCCCAAGGCTATGCCAACTTAAATTCATTCAAATTAATTGTCTTTAGTGATCATAATATTCAGCCTTTTCTCATCCTTGTCTGCTTGCAGAGTTTTTGTTTAGTTTTCTTTGTCTTTTTTGGTTTGGTTTTGTTTTTATGTAGATCAAATTGCAGTATCTAAGGCAAGTTAGTGCCAGCACCTCCTGGAAATCATGACATTCTTCCAGAGAATGTATGAAACCGAGCCCAGAGCCAGTGTCTGATGAAGGAGAGATGGAAGAATGCTGAGGGACCCCTCTTGCATTGCACATGAGGGCAAGGAAACCTGTAGTCTCAGTGTCTGCATACACACTCTGAGTCATAGTTTCATAGTTTCATAGTTTCAGGGTCGGAAGGGACCTAATAGATCTTCTAGCCCGACGCCCCGCCAGGGCGGGAGAACAACCCAAAAACACAAACAAAACCACTCACCCTAAAAACAAAAACGGGACTCAAATGAGTCCAGCCAGGTAAGTATCCAGCCTCTTCTTAAAGATCCCCAGGGTAGGGGCCAGCACCACCTCCCTTGGAAGTTGGTTCCAGCTCCTAGCCGCCCTGACTGTGAAGTAGTTTTTTCGGATGTCCAATCTGTACCTCCTCTCCATCAACTTGTGCCCATTATTCCTTGTTATGCCAGCAGGGGCTAGGGGAAACAGCGTCTCCCATAGTTAACAATCTCCCTGATTCCTTGGGAAATTCTTTCTGATCCCAGTGACCTGAGGAGGAATGTCTTTCATTGAAAAGCTTATCTAGCTCTATACCAGTGGATTTCAACCTTTTTTTTTTCATTTCTGGAGCCATAAAACTTTTTGAATGAAGGTGTGGATTCCTTTGGAAATTTTGAATGGAGGCGTGGACCCCTTTGCATTGTAAGTCTGGGTATTGACATACTTTTGATTGATCATAATCACCTTTTGAGGACCCCTTAGACATAATCTGTAGGTCTGTGGACCACAGGTTGAAAACCACTGCTGTATACCAACGACATAGTTAGTTCAACAAAAGATATCACCATAATAAATCCTTGCTTTTCTTATCCCAGGTCACTGGGCCTCCAGTTTCCTTCTATACACTTCCAGAGACAAGTATAGTTACATCATAGAAGCATCATTGCTAAGCTCCCTTCTCCTTCTTTTCAGGGTATGGAGGATACAGGCTGGCAAATGGCAGTACAAGGTGTTCAGGGAGAGTGGAACTTCATCATGGGGGTACCTGGGGAGCCTTTTGTGACTCCCAGTGGGATTTCCAGGCTGCCAACACTCTCTGCCAGCAGCTGGACTGTGGAGATGCTCTATTGATCCCAGAAGCAGAGCTCTTTGGGATAGGCGATGGACCTGTCTGGAATGGCACCTTTGGCTGTGAAAGGGATGAATCTAACAGGAGGGACTGTTTTGTGACTGCACTGGGTGCTGCGGAGTGTCCTCATGGGAGTGCAGCCAGAGTGGTGTGTTCAGGTGAGCAGAAGCAGGAAGGAAGAGAATATGTGTTTTACAGACAGGGCCAGATCCTGTAAACTGGCCAAGCCCAATCTATCCCCATGTGATTTATAGTAGGCAAAGATCTGAATGCTTCCTGCAGTGTCCCTGACCCTGCACCAGATGAGATTTGTAACTGTTCATGGTGTGGAATTCTGTTGGTGCCCTGAACAGGAAATGTACCACAGAAAAGAAAAGCTGATTTGTTCCCCTACCTTCTCCCTGAGTAAAGAAAGGTGAGGAATCGGTGTGTTTATGTGCTGGTATATGGAATTTCCACAGTTTGAGCAGAATAATTTCTACCGTTGTGCGTACAATTGTTCCTGTTCCCCTCTTCCCCCCATACCGTGACTGCTCACCATTATCCATGTGAACCTTGGCACTCATTTTCCCTTGTGTTCAGGGTGCCCACGTGGCAGGTTAGTGAATGGCACTGAGTGCTCTGGGAGAGTGGAGATCCAATACGGAGTCACATGGGGAACACTCTGTGGTTCCCAGTGGGATCTGCAAGCTGCCCATGTCCTGTGCCGTCAGCTGAAGTGTGGCTATGCCAAGTCAATACCAAGAGGAGCCCAATTTGGAGAAGCGTATGGAATGGTATGGAGAGACATATTTTACTGTGAAGGAACTGAATCCTGCCTGTGGAACTGTTCTCATATTGTACTGGGCAATCCCTCCTGTTCCTCGAGAGAAACGGCCAGCGTTATCTGTTCAGGTAAGTTATATATAGAGAGATATTTATTACAGTTCAACTCTGGGTGCCATTTTGATCTCCATAAGCAGGGCCATTGACCTCAGTGTAAGTGAGTGTCAGATTGATTCTCTTTGTTTAGTTATCAAACAGGGGATTTAAAGAGGGAATGCTTATGTTGAGAACTGCTTGTGTCCCTGGTCTCTCAGGTTCAGTGAACTGATGTGGTCAATGAATCAATTAATTAGTGTGTCAATGTATATGGTCTGTCTGTGTGTCTGACATTTGAATTTTGCATTTTGTGGGGACACTGTACAATTTAGTTAAATCCTGTGGGATTATGCTTTGCACAAGGGTTTAAATTTTTTGTTTAGCCTCCTTCCCAAATGAATCTAGCTGCCCTAGGCTATAAAATCTTGACTCCAAGCAATCACTGAGAGCCAAGGAGCAAAGAGAAGTGTGAGAGAAGTTTTATGGGTGTTTGATTTTAGACTCATGAATCATAGTGGTCTTTTTTTAACCTTCCCATGGGTTGTTTTTTTTCCCCAATTATATATTTTCCTCAGAAGCAGAAAGGGCAGAGGATGTCACTTGTGGCGTGCATGGAAAAGGAAGACAGGGAAATGAAAGTGACATGATTGTAATCTGTAGAATTTATATCTTCCTTTAATTTTTGTCTGCTATACACACATGAAGTTTCAACTGATAGTGCTTCTGGAGGAGGCTGAAAATAAAATTAAGGACAATGATAGAGCTCTGATGGGAGTATGATCATTCTATGAAAAAAAGGCGTACAAATGAGAAACACTAGAAACTTATCAAGGTTTTTATATTGGAGAAGAAGGGAAACCATGGAGGCATGTAACATTGAAAAAAAGGCAAAGGCAGAATATATAAGTTAAATAGAACAGAGGAATCTGTTGTATTTAACTTATATATTAGTTAATATGAGCCAAGGGGGTTGTCCAGCACAATTTGCCACTTGTGAAGATGTGGCCACAGTGTCATACCTTTGGCAGTGGTTTCATATGCCCTTCTTTCACCCATAGCATGACATTGGGTGTTCTTAGTGTCTCAGATATTGTTCCTTATAGTTGTGGGTGAGGATTTGAAATAGCATGTTTTGGCTTCATTAAAAAATCTTCCCCATAGTGCAACACAAATACTGTAGGAACCTTTGTATGCTCCTGGCTTCTTCAAATCTTTCCCTCAGCCCAGTTCACAGGCTTCCCAGTGTCACAAGATGAACATAAATAGGAAACAGATGGTGGCTAAATCCTCAGTCATGGTGCATAACATTTCTTTATGCATTTTTATTAATTCAAATATGTGATGTGGTTCTTAACTTTGTCCTTTTCTCTCCCTGTCTCCCTTTCTTCTCCCTGCTCTCCTTGTGTGAGTTGGGTCCTGGGCCCTTTTTTTCTTGGCAGCAGGTTTATACTCTCAAAAGATCTTTTACCTTTGCCAGTATTGCAGGGTACTACCCTTTGAAAACTCACTGGTAATTCTAACATGACAACAAGTGAAACTCCCGGACTGTTGAGGAAAGTGAATGTGGAGAGAATATGCCCCAAATGCAAATATAGCTGTGAGGAACTTTACTTGAGAAGAGCATATAGACTCTGCAGGAGGAAAATTTCTCATGTGAACTAAATTATATATAACATAAGTAAGCCGGGGGAAGGGCAGATAATCACTAGTGCAAGCCCACCAAGCATCAGCCACCAAACCATCAGGTCAAGCTGTACAAGGAAACAAACTCCTACCCCACCCCAGGGAAGGGGCTCTTCCAGGAGTGCAGGGAAACATCAATGATGGCAAGCTCACTTGCCTTTACACAAATGCCAGGAGCCTGGGCAAAAAACAGGAGGAGCTGTCCCTACTCCTAAACAGTAATGCTTACAATCTCATAGGGATAACGGAGACCTGGTGGGACTCCACCTATAACTGGACCAAAGGTATAGAAGGCTATACCTTGTACAGGAGAGATTGTGTTGCAAGAAATGGCAGAGGTGTAGCTCTCTATGTGAAAGAACAATACACTTCCCTACTGGTGGAGACTGGTAACCAAGGAAGGTGTGTTGAGACCCTCTGGATAAGAATAAGAGGGGGACATGGTGAAGGGGTATAATGGTAGGAGTCTACTACAGAAGAGCAAGAACTCAACCATGAGTTCACCAGGGAACTGGCTGAGGCTGCATGCTCTTGGTGCATGGTTGTCATGGGTGACTTTAACTACCTGGACATCTCATGGGAAAATCATTCACTCAAATTTGATCGATTGCACACAATCTGGCAGGGAGTTTTGTCCATGATGAATGGTCACTCCTCAAGGATGCAATCCTTGAAACACAAGGAAAGTCTATTCCAACCTGCAGAAAAAAATAGTAGCAAAAGGGCTGGACAACCCCCTTGGCTCAATAGGACCCCCTGCACTTAAAAAAAAGAAGCTTATAAAGGATGAAAGACTGGAAACATTACTAAGGAGGAGCACTCAGCACTAGCCCACACCTGTAGGGACCAAACTAGGAAAGCCAAGGCTGAAACCGAGCTCAAACTAGCCACTCAAATTAAGAACAACAAAAAGTCCTTCTTCAAATATGTGGGGAGTCAGAAAAAGAACAAGGGTAACATTGGACCCTTACTAAATCAAGTGGGGCAGCTGATAACCAACACTCAGGAAAAAGCCAATCTCCTTAAAGACTACTTTGTGTCAGTCTTCCTTCAGCCCAGTGGGATTACCCTACCTGACAAGAGGCAGGGTCACCAGGGGAAGGGCGAGCCTGCACCCATCATTACCACAGATCTTGTGAGGGAACACTTTAAGAGGCTGGGCATACATAAATTATCTGGCCCAGGGGGAACGCGCCCAAGAGTGCTAAAAGAACTAGTTAACATTATAGCACAGCCTATGGCGAGCATATTTGAGAACTCATGGTGCTTGGGCGAGGTGTCTGATGATTGGAAGAAGGCCAGTGTGGTGCCTATCTTCAAAAAAGGGAGAAGGGAAGATCCAGAGAACTACAGGCCAGTTAGCTTGACCTCAACCCCTGGAAAGATCCTGGAAAAAATCATCAAGGAAACTGTGACGGTTTAGCTACATCTGCAAAAACAAATCATACTCATTTGGTTTAATATGAACTGGTTCATTTCCTTTATTTCACTCCTGCCATGATTTGATGGAATAAGGTAGGGAAATAAACACAGTCCTGAGAAATGAAGAAGATATCACATCTGTGGTTCAGCCAAATAACTCTTCTTCACAGTTATTATGTCTCTGTTAGACAACTAACCTCTTGGGTATGTTTAGTTCCCTCTCTTTTTGGGAACTCTCACTTTCTTGGTTGCCTTCCCCATTCTTCTCCACAGGGGTCCCAAGCAAATGGCAATCCTATGCCACCTTGTATTTTCTACTGATATAAAAATGTGGGGTTCACTTCCCTTGGTAAATCCTCATCCACTCTTGTTTCTTTCTCTTTTAGGTCCCTGGGAAGGTACCAGAAGTCTCCAGGTATTGGACTCACCAACCCAGAGGTCTCCATCGTCACCTCACTTCAGCTTCCCAGGTAAGTTTCTCTCTGGGACTCTTCTTCCATTCCTTTCTCTCTGCTGTCTGTTGTCTCTCTCTTGTAGTCTCTCCATATTTCTTCTGGGTTTCTTTCTTCTTCTTTCTGGAATTAATTCCAGGCTCTGTTCCCCTTTAAATCCTTCCAGCTGTCTCCTGCATTTCTTGCAGCCAGCCCTCTCCCCTTTCCTCTCTCTGTTCATGCAGCTCTTTGTTTTTGTTTTCATCTGGGTCCCTCTGTCCTCCATCTGGGTATCCCCACCCCTTTCTCCCTTCCGGCTCATTTTCAAGGTAAGTTCTCTGTTTCCCTTCACTCCCCCAGATTTCTGTGATGGGGCAGACTTGTTGCCTTGCCACAGAAACCATTACCAACATCTTAACAGAAGGTAATACTCTGAGAGATAGCCAACGTGGCTTCATGGCAGGTAGATCTTGTCTGACCAACCTGATTTCCTTCTATGACCAGGTGACCAGACTCCCCCCAGAGATGATGCAGGCACCTACTCTTGATTCCTTTAAGAAACACTTGGATGGCTATCTTGCTCTGATCATTTGACCCCTGCTGACTGCCTACCCTTTTGGCTAGATCCAATGATCTTGCAAGTTCCCTTCCAGCCCTAACATCTATGAAATCTATGAAGCCAGCTCTCTGCCTTATAATGATTATAAATTCTTTCAGAATCCTCTCCTGTTCTTGGTACTTGCTTGGTGTTGGTTTGTAGTGCTTGGGTACTTTGGATGGCATTCTGCTTTTTCATGATCATCTAAGTATCTGGCTTTTGGACATCTATAGGGCATTTTAGGCATTCATGCTCAGGGGAAATTCTATTCTAGGACATGAAGAGAAGATCACATAGTTGCACAGACTAGCAACATGAAATAAAGCAAAATGTATACATGTGTGCACCTTTTCTCCCAAAGACCATAGCTGTTGGGTCACTTACTGTGGAGGGTAGAGGACCTAGGTTCTGGGCCACTGTAACAGGTCGCTCTCTGCAGCATCATCTTCCCTGTTAATCTGCACCTTTTGTGGGGCGCCCTTGGAGCCTGCTTTGTAGCTCTTATATCCTGCTCTCTACTCTCCTGCCATGTCTTGATGGAAATTATTGTTGATGTTCTTGCGAGCGGGAGACTTCCCATTGTATTTTGGTATGTTGGGGTCTTTCACCGACCTGGGCCTGACCCCTGTCTTTCTCTAGCTAGGAGTCCTCATCCAAAACCCACCAAACAGGGTTTGGCTCTGAGGCTCTAGCCTTCTCCAGTATTGGGCCTCGTTATCACTTGACCCCCTTGTCCTCCCTGGGCTCTCCACAGTCCCTGTCTCACTCTGCGCTCTCTCTGGCACTCAGGCTCTCCCCAGCCCTGTCTCACTCTGCACCCTCTCTGGCGCCTGGGCTCTCTGCAGCCCTGTCTCACTTTGTGCCTCACTGATGCCTGGGCTCTCTGCAGCCCTGTCTCACTCTGCGCCTCACTGGCACCTGGACTCTCCACATCCCTGTCTTGCTCTGTGCCCTCTCTGGCATTCAGGCTCTCTGCAGCCCTGTCTCACTCTGTGCCTCACTGGTGCCTGGGCTCTCCACAACCTTATCTCGCACTGCGCCCTCAGTGGTGCCGGGGTCCCCACTCCATAGTGGGTCCCCTCAGTGAGGCCTTCTCCATCCCCTTAATAGCCTCACCCAAGCCACCGGTTTTAAGCAGCAAACAAAACAGAAGACCCTGGGCTATAACATAAATTCAAGCCACCTGGCTATAACATCATTCAAGCCACCCCAGGGGTGCTCCATCCCTCACCAGTATCAGAGGCCGCACCTGCAGTCAGGCCTCTCTCCTTTACTTGGTCTGGTAGAGCTCCTTCCCCCTTGGCTGCTGGCAGGGAACTTCCCTCCTGGCCTCAGCCCTGGTGTTTATATGTGGGCCAGGCCCCGTCCCTTCTGGTCAGCTAACCTCTGGCAGGTGTGGTCCACTAGCTCCCTCATTACCTAGTTGTCCTGGCAACCTGCACCTGGGTTCTTATATCTACTCCTAGAGTAGCAGGCACCTTAGTGCCCTGCTACACACCTCCCCCCTTAAGACCCAGACTCACCAGGACGGGTCTTCACTCTTGTTCCTGTTCACCGACAATTCGAATACGTAGAGGTGGAGGTTTTCAGGTTCTTCCTGCTCACCTTTTCCCCAAGGTGCACGATGTGGGATTTTATGGGAGTTGCCCCACCACAGGCAGCACCCCCCACCCCACTAGCCAACCTTGGCAGGCTGCACTCTCTGTTGGTTGAACTCCCTGCCTACCTTTTGTGGGGTTTTCTCCCTCTTACATCTGGCTTGCCTATATTCGACCCCTGCCTCCTGATCTGTTTCTTAGGGCAGATTGTGGGGTTTCTTGCCTCTCTAAGACTCTTTCCTCACCAGCCTTCCATGCCCAGAAAGTCCTGGCCTTAAAGGGCTGAACCTGTTTCCTCTTGACAGGGTTAGGGTTCCCTATTACAGCCACCCTCATTGAAAGGGGGCTTTATCCTGTTTGATATTGAAGGCGACACTTTTAGCTACCATATCATGGGTCTGCCATTATGCAGGCAGCTCTCCGGTACTCCTTTTGAAAACTGGGCAGCCTAAAGATGTAGGTATGTGAGAGATATATGGGGCTAGAAATAGTCCAGGGATGTATGATTTAGTGAAGTAACTGCTGTCCTGGAAAGGAAAAGGGTATGGTTCTAATTTGAGCTCTTGTCCCTAGATGAGTAGAAGATTCCTCCCCAAGTACTGTCCTCTACCAGTTTGTTTGTTTTTTCAAGTGATTTATGTTAGTGGCTCAACTTCAAAAGGAGCACTGGAGAAGAGTCTAGATAATAGCTGACCTGTTGTATAGTTAGAGGGATGAGCTATGAAGAGAGGCCCCAGTACAAACCCCTCTGGGTGAAGGGATGCCCTGCATCCTGGATGAACTAACCGTTGAACTATGGAGAGAGGGATCAGGATACATACAGGGATTTTTAACTCCTGAGGCTGAGTCCACTAGTCATGGGGTTTGGCCCATTTTAAGATCACTACACATCCACAAGGGGTGCATATATATAATGTAGCTATCACTATGTAGGGTCACTCTGTACAACAATGTAGTCACTCATAATGGTCCATGTGCACAGAGCTATGCATGCAGGAATAGGGTGGGTATATAAGTGCCAAAAAAGCACTGTAGATGGCAAAAAGGTCACTTAGATAACCAGAAAAGACTAGAATGTCACCCTAGCAACCCTATTAAAAAAAAATCTAATATTTTTCTTCACCTTGGTGCGGGCAGGGTTCTCTCATTGCTGTAACAAGGTTCACCTGTCTTTCTGACCTGAGATCTCAGATGGTTCTGTTAGTTCTCTTTCTGGGAGCTGGACACTGCAGTGCAGTGAATCCAGAGTCTCAGAAAGATTTAAAAAACTCTCTTAGGTGAGAGGACAGTATATATACCTGGAGCTCCTCAAGTCATTTTGTTTATCGTCCAGCTTCCAAACCAAACTGTTCCCAGTTAACTTGCTTAGCATGGTGAAGCTTGTCATGAGTTCAGAAGATGTAAGAAGATTTCTTGTCCAATGAACCTCAAGCAAAGTCTCAGGTTAAGCCCTACCCTCATTTCAGGAAGGAAGAGGATCACATAGTTTTGGTAGCCATTATTATTTTGTATTTGTTCTGAGACCTGGAACCCTCAAGTGGTTGCATACATACTCCTAGAAGGAGAAAAGCCTAAATATTATTTAAAACCACTGTAGCTTTTACCATTTGTTTTTAAACTACATCACAGGAGGCCCCAAAGCCATGAAGCTTACAATATGATTTTAAGAAAGGCCTGTTTTATTTTATTAGAACCCCACAAACTCATTGACAGTTTATTTGAAAATCAGGAGAAAATCCAGTGCCAACATAGAGAGTATGCTGTAAACTAGGGAGAAGACACTTGGCTGAATATTTGATCAACACCAATGAGATGTTGATAGAAAAATCCTTAACTAATTGGCTACATTTGCAAAAAGGGCCCATGACTACCCACTCAATGTAATGGAACCTTAATGAGAGAAACTGTGACTTTTATAGAAGAAAACAGATTTTGAATCCCACTGCTACATGCAAAATGAAACCTGTGACCAAATAGGATTACTAAGTTCCTCATTCATACATACACATATAACCTTTCTGTTAAGCTCTGAATGGCAGTAACAAGGGCTGGGTTCAGATTTAGGGGTTTTACACAAATTTTCTATCTGGCTTGAGCCTCCACTCAGAAACCTGTGAACAGGGTGTCCCTAACTGAATAAGTTTGCCCACTCACAAGCAATAGCAGCAATTCTTAAAAAGTGAGGAGAGAAAGAGGGGCAATAAAACAATATAGGGAGAAAGCTTAATAGTTAGTAGCCTGCCTCAACTAAAGTTTATCACTGTCAGTGCTATCAAAAATCTGCCCTAGTTCCAGGCACAAAAAGGGTAATAGTCCCGTAGTAGGGAACACTGTTGGATGATTACAAAGCAAATTCAGAGAAGCTCTATCTAACTCAGCCGCTACAGGGTATTGCTTCCTCCCAGGGACTGTACCGCCTACACCAGCAAAAAGGTAGGTGCTAGTTAGGGGAGCCCATTCCAGAGGTTGCTATACTCCTGAACTTGGGGGCTCACTGTCACTGCTTGCCTCTGCTACTGGGGTCTCCAGTGCTGTTACTGTTCATCACTGGAGTCACTGTTAGAGAACATTGCTCTACTGCTGCTTCTCCACACCATCACTGGGAAATGCTGCTTATCACTACCATGGCACTGCTTAGTAGAGGTTTGTGAAGTGGGCCCTATTCAATTCAGATTTGGATTAGGCCTGAATCAGGGACAGTGATTCAATTCGTTGATTCAGATTCTTGTGCCTGATTCAATTTGGCTGAATCTGAAGATGCGATGCTGATTTGGAGAATCAGCGATTTGGACGTAGATACAGCTTTAAATGTTTTTTCTACATACCTCGAGGTACCAGGTGCAGCTCATGAATGCTGCAATGCTGGGGTAGAGGAGCATCCCACATGACAGTAGAGGGGGCCCCCACATGCTGGGCGGCAAACCCGGAAGTGGAGCAGAAGTACTTCCAGTCTACTTCCGGATCCACTGGGAGCACGAGGGGGGGGGGGGGGCATACCCTCCTGGCTCAGTGATTGGCTGCGGGGGGACCCCAGGTGCCCCCCAAAACCCAGGAGGCACCAGTTGCCAAGCCGGGGGAGGCCCCCAGCGCGCTCCTCGGCAGACCCGGAAGTGGATTGGAGATGCTTCTGGTCCACTTCTGGGTCTTCTGGTGAGCACATGGGGGACCCCCCCCCTCCCCCCGCACTTCTGTGGGACACTCCATGTGCCCCAGCATTGCAGCATTCACAAGCTGCCTGGTACCTTGAGGTATGTACAAAAAAACATTTAAAGCTGTGTCTAGGTCCAAATCGCCAAATCTTTTCAAATTGATTTGGAGGGTTCCAACTCAATTCAGAGAGATTAAAAGGTCCTCTGATTTGATTTGGATTTGGAGATTCAGCCACTGAATCAGGCCAAATCTCTGCCGAATTGAATCAGAGACTGAAGCTGTGCACAGCCCTACTGCTTAGTGCCAACACCACAAGTCTTTCAGTTGCTTATGCAACCCGGCTCTTTTAGAGCTTGAACTATTCCACAGCAGGTTCAAGAATTTCAGCTCATTCAGTAATAAGCGGAGGCTTGGTCCTACCATGGGTTGTTAAGCACACCAATAGGGGGAAATACACTACTGTACTACTTTGGATCAAAATTTACTACTTTGGGAAAAAGTTTCTATTTAGGAATCCTACACTTTACTAGGCAAAAAACTAAAACATAAGAATTTCAGAGGTCTATAATTAACTCAAAGCCCTGTGTAATTGCATGGTTTGTACTGGCCTAACAGCATTCCTAGGCCAGCCTCAACTATTAGGGTGCCTATATGTATGTATTGAGGTTGCTCCAATGTGCTGTAATTATGGCACATCGGAGAAGACTCAGTTGAGTCTGCTGGAGTGTGGTAGTTAGTGCACTCCAGCAGACTCCAGTGTCATTTGTATCAGCATCCCTGCGCTGAAAAATGGTGGCAGGGGTGCTTTAGTTAATGTGCCCCTGTTGTCATTTTTCAGCTCAGGGAGACTGATACAAGTGACAGTCAAGGCACTCTAGTTAGAGTGGCTCTCAGAGCCGCTCTGATTTAAAGTGCCCCGCACAAACCCTGGAGTATGTGTATAAATGCCCATATTGACTGCACCAGGGAGTGAGACCTGAGAAGGCACTAACATATAAGAGGTACCCTGACACTCACAAGATGTAATTTCAGAGATAGGTAACCTTTTCTCACTTTAAGCTCATGTGTTAATATAGAAACAAACAGGGCCCCTCGAAAGAGGCTTCCTCTTGAACCACTGCACAGTGATAAATTATACTTCCCTTAGCATGGAGATCTGTCATTCAGGTCACTTTGGTGCATTATTCCTAAAACAAATAAGTTATTCAGTGTATTTTCCATCTCTTCTATCCCAGGTGACTTTGCATCCCTCAGGCTGTTGAATGGTGAGAACCAGTGTGATGGGCGAGTTGAGATTTTTCTTGATGGCACGTGGGTCAGAGTCCTGGATGACGAGTGGAACATGAATGATGCCAATGTGGTGTGCAGGCAGCTCCAATGCGGTATTGCTGAGAAGGCCTATAATCCTTCAAAATCTGAGCGAGGGACAGGCCCCGTATGGCTGAGAAGTATCCGCTGCTCCGGATATGAGTCTTGTCTGACACACTGCAACGTTTCCGTGTTTGAGACAGCACAGGCAGGAATTGCTGAGGATGTCGGTGTCATTTGCTCAGGTGACTTTCCCTGAAAATCCTACAAACCTCCTCTCCATGGCCATCCCATGGCCTGCTGATAGACTTATTTGAGCTCTTATCTCACCAGATCACAAAGAGATATGCATCTCAGGGCCAAACTGTGGCAAACTTTGAGTAAAATGATATGTATTCATTACCAGAAAAAGTATTACCATATTGTAGCATTAGTGCACTGAATCCCCTTCTTTCCCTTTCCACTTGCATTTTATATATTAGCACTGGTCTCTGTTTATCAAAGCTCTTCTTTTTCATCAAAAATTCAAAATGTTAGTAAATGGTTTGTTTTTATTGTAAATATGGTCACAAAAATAAAAAAAACAAAATAAAACATTGCAAATAAAAATATACGTACTCATTATTTTCTGTTCATCTTTACTGAGGAAATAAGCGTGATTAATTCCAAGTGAAGAATGAATAAATTAAAAAAAAATCCTTTGGCTTCTAAATCTAAAAGCTTTAAATAATGTCCCATCCAGAATCAGCGAAGACTAATAAGACAAAGAAAACATAACCCATTGTGATCAAGAGTGTTGTCGATATTGCCAATATATTTATAGATTTAAACATAATTTGGATTAATCCGACGTCATACTGGGCACATCTACATGTGCTATTAATGCGATAAAGTCTTAACTGCGCAGTAAAAACTGTGCAGTAAGTCTTCCCTAGAAGCAAGTCTACACATGTTCCCTATTGGGAACAAATCTACTTCCAATCAGAGCAACAGAGCAGCAGCCAGAAGCAGCTGTCTCTTTGCCCTATACACATTGGGAAATGTCCTGATGTGCATGATCTGGGAGACAGCTACTGCAGCAGAACTCTCCCAGGCCCATGCACATGTGGACAAGCTTCATGCCCAGTGGGGCTTCCTCGCACAGCCTGGAGTTAACCAAGAACTGTTTCCCTTCTGAGGCAGCTCCCAGCCAGCTCCAGGCTGCATGGTGCAGAAGGGGAACAGTTCCTGGACAGCTGTGGGCTGGTTAGGGAAATCCCAACACATCCCAGAGTTGGCTTTGAGCTGCCCCAGAAGTGGGACAGCCCTCAGACAGATCTTGAGTCCCAGTGCTGCTTGGCCCCTGGTTCCTGTGGGAAGCCAGAAGCTGAGCAGTGCCAAGATGGGAAGAGGGGGAGGGGAGAGAGCTACCCATCCCAGCACTGCTCACTCCCAGCTTCTGGGGGAAGCCAGGAGCTGAGTAGCATCAGGACTGGGGGAGTTTCCTCTTCCCTGTAATCCCCAAATGATGGGGTTGACCAGGAGAAAATTTGCTCCCAGCCACATGTGCTACTAAATAATATCTACTGCTCAGTTAGTTTACTACCTATATTAAACAGGTAGTAGCTAACTATTTTTATTTGCTGGAAATGCTATTTATTCAAAGCTGCACAGGCTATACTCCTGAAAGGAGTATTATATGAGTATTATATTCTCATGCATGCTTCTCATGAATCTTTCAATTTCAGTATATCTGAAGTACAGTATGACCTATTCCTGCCTGCACTGAATTAGCTGAAGAATTGCATTTGACTTCACCTCAAGTAGAAATTGTCCTTAATTTTGTGGAACTTTATTGCAGGGCCTTGCGTCAATAAAGAAAAACATTCATACTAAAAGCATTTGAGCATTATAGTGTCATTAGTGATAGGCATAAAAGATGTTATCAATATATTGCACATTCACAAATGGGATTTTCCCCTGCAGGAAGCAGACGGATCAGACTGGTGAATGGGGCAGGTCGCTGTGCTGGAAGAGTAGAGATTTATTACAGGGGCACCTGGGGGACTGTCTGTGATGATTCCTGGGATCTACTGGACTCCAATGTGGTTTGCAAACAGTTGAGATGTGGATATGCTATCAAGGCAGCTGCCTCTACTCTTTATGGGGAAGGTTCAGGGAAGATCTGGCTGGATGATGTGAACTGCTCTGGAAATGAATCCAAGCTCTGGGAATGCCCTTCCAGGGGCTGGGGGCAGCATGACTGCAGACACAAGGAGGATGTAGGAGTGCTCTGCTCAGGTTTGTTCTATGATTGCTTTCATGAGTCTGTTTACTGAGGAATGTAATGGTGAAATAGGATGTTCCATGGGAGAAACTGTAATAGGAAACACTCTTTTGGTACACCTGTCTTTCTCATATCTACTTCCTTAGCTAAGTCACTTGACTACATACTGGCACTGATGTTATCATTTCCCTCAGTTTTCTTCCCATAGTACAGTATTATATGTATCATAACCTTTCCTTAGTGTTAAAGGTGCTGGCACCTGCTTGTCAGGTATCTCTGCAGGTAAATATAGCTAAATAGAGTCATTCCAGAGGTGACCACTGCATTTTTAAGAATCTCTCATCTCTGGGATTTCATTCTTCACAACACAATTTCAATAGAATCAGACCACTTACATACCATTTTCTGCATTTCCTTCTAGATTTCGTAAGTCTGAGGCTGGTGAATGGTGGTGGCTGTGCTGGGAGGCTGGAGGTTTTTTACAATGGGACATGGGGAAGTGTTTGCTCCAATCAGATGACTCAAGTCACTGCAACAATTGTATGCAAACAGCTGAGCTGTGGAGATGAAGGAGAAATTGCAACAGACTTTGCATACGGACAGGGTTCTGGCCTCACATGGCTGGACCACATTGAGTGTCATGAACATCACAGCTCCCTTTGGCAGTGCCCATCAGAGCCATGGAACCCAAAGTCATGTGATAACAGAGCAGAAGAGACCCATATTACCTGCACCGGTAATTCTAAAGCTATCTGTTTATAACTATATGTATAAGTATACATGCATATGTTACATGTTTAATTCATTGAAAGGTTATGACAGCATTATTTTCTATTTACTTTTCAGTATAGATACATTTACATTTCCAAGAGTGACACAATCATTTTTTATTGTCTACCAGATGAGCAAGAAAATGGAAAATGGAAAAAGAGTCCAAGAGAATAGACTGTGCCTTAAAAAGACAATACTCAGGGTACCACAGCATGCTATCCTGATGCAAAGGAAGGGTAGGAACTGCAGAAAGAGACCAGCTTAGTGAAGTAGTGAGCCCTTCAGTTACTTCGGAATGAAAGAGAAATTTCACAAAAAGGAGAAAATTGGACGTATTTCTAAGGATGTGTATAAGCATAAAATATGGAAAATTATAGAGAAAAACAAAGCAGCCAATGTATGAACTGAGAAGGAAGTACCAAGGAACATAAAAGGCAACAAAAAGCATTCTGCAAGTACAGTAAAAGTAGGAGGAAGACAAAGGAATGTGTAGGTCCCTTACACACTGGGTATGTCTACACAAGATGCTTTACTGTGCATTAGACATCTAATGCTCAGTAAAGCATCACTGTCTACACATGCATGGCAATTACTGCACATTTGATTAGTTTAATGCACCATTTGCTAGTACCAATATATACAGGTACAAGAAAAATGCACATTAATGCACAGTAGTGCACATGTAGATGCTGATGTTGGGCACAGACTATGCCCAGTTAGCCACAGAAGTAGAGGCCCAGCCTCCTACTTGGTACACAGCCATGTACCTGGTAGTGTCTATAGCCACCTGTCAGGGACAGCTCGTTGGCTGGCCCTGGATGGCCACCAGATGCCTGCCCTGACCCCCAGGCCTGTGCCAGCTTCTGTCTACCCTCTGGGTACCATGGCCCACCAATGTGGGCATGTGCTGGGTGCTGCAGCCCCCACAGACTCCAGCTCTACTCCCTGGGGCCTGTGCCAGAAGCTACCTTCCTCATGGGCTCTGTGCCTCCAGTCCTAGCCCTGGCCCAGCCTAGCCACTGGCAGCCACCTGCAGCCGAGCACTAAGGCTCCCAGTGGACTTGGGAGGAGATGCAACACCACCTGCAGTGGCCAGGACCTGCTGATGCTGCTCCTGAGCATGTTCCCCCAGCAGCCCAGGCTGCTGGCCACCATTTGCCCAGCTGCCATGCAGCCCCTGAGTGGGAACTGGCCACAGCTGGGGCAGCTCTCCACAAGGTCCCTGCTGACCCTGGCCCCATGGAGGAGGAGTGGGAGCATGCTGAGTGGGTTGGGCAGTGTCCTCCCTCCCCCCTGGGTGAGTTCCCAGCCCATTGGGGTTCCTGCGTCATGTGTACCTACACTGGTTTCAGCGGAGACTGGGGTGCCTGGCTTCTCTCCCCAGGGTCCATGCCATAGGTTTCATAGTTTCATAGTAGCTAGGGTCAGGAGGGACCTGAACAGATCATCTAGCCTGACCCACTGCCACAGGCCTCCACACCACTGCCCTTCCCTCCCAACAGTTGTCAATACACCAGTGTAAATAGTTTCATGCAGAAAAGGGTGCTTTCTTTGTGGTGGGCTTTGAGGTTAGGGGTGGGTTTTGTTTTTGGAAAGTGAGGGTTAGAGGCAGTCTGTTGCTGGGGAGGGAGGGCAGGTCTGTTGCTGTGTTGTGGAAAATAAAGATTGGTGTTTCTTGAAAAATGTCAGCAATGTGTGTGCTGTTGGGGTTGTGTTGTGGGTCTGGGGTTCATGGGTAGCTGCCCAGGCCCCCTACTATAGATGGTGTAGGAGGAGGTGGTTCACAAGTGTGCCATGCACATGGTGCCCTGGTGAACTCAAGGCAGGTGGTGAAGGTGCGCCAGTATCTCTTGAGGCATCCAAAGGCACACTCAACCAGTGAATAACTACAGACTAAGCACATGCTGAAGTGTGCCTGGCATGGGTTGAACTGGCCAGTGCAGAGGTGCATGAGCCATGGTAGTAGTGGGTACGTGAGGCCCCCAGTGAAGTGCACTCAGCTGCAGGTATGGGATACCTGGTGTGAAGTGGCTGTTTTCCATGAGGGCTGGCAGGGTGCAGTTTAATGTTTCAAATCAGCAGAGTTGGTTGGTTGAGGTACTTGGAGAGACATTACTTATCTTTAAGAACTCATGGAATTCAGGTGAGCATAGGTGGTGGAAGGCAAGGGTTAACAGGGATTAGTTCCCCCCACCCCCAGCTTATTTTGCTGGGGCTGAGGATAGCAGCAGCACCAGAGCACCGCGGTCCTGCAGTACCCAGCACCACTCATTGTGAAGCTCCACTGCTCCAGCACCACTACTGTGCCCTGCTGCCACAGTGCTGCGCCAAGCACCCCTGCTGTGTGCTCCTCCACTGCTGCCACAGCCCCCCAGATAATATTTTCTCCCACCACTAATGCAGGTGAGATCTCAAATAACTGGAAAAGGGTAAATACAGTGCTCCCCTATGATGAAGGAAGAAGGGGGACCCAGGGAAATAAAGAACCATCAGCCTAATCTTGATAGCTGGAAAAGGAAGAAGACAGGGCAGGGAGGTACCTCAGAGACTAACTGGTTCAAAGAGGCAAGAGCTTTCATAAGCAACAGCCTACTTAATCATATGCTATGAATGGACTTGCAAAAAGAAGGGGTTTAAAAGGAAGATAAACGGGGAGCTGGGTATTGCAAAAGGAATAAAAAAATAGATCTCACACCTTGAGAGACAAGGTAGTTAACACCTGGAAGAAACATCTAGTCCAGGCAAAGAGGTAAGTATCTGTAGACTATTGAGAGAATAGGTAACACAGTCCAGTCTGTGGATGTTTTCTTGTTCTACAATTTTGTGTTCAGCTGGAGTTAACAGCTTGTCTGGATAATGGGATATGAATCCATAGTCCCTGTTGAAACTATAGGTAAAACAATTCATTCTGTGGATGATTTTTGTTTCTCAATTTTGCATTCAAGTTGTTTTTTAAAGTTTTATTGTTTATGGACAACTACACTGAGGAAGGTGCTGAAATATTCAGGCAGGTTAAATTCTTTTGTCATGTGATTTTGTGCATTTCTGGAAATGATGTCATATCACTGTCCATTCATTCTTGTATTTAGGGAGTATCATCCAGCCAATGTGGACAGCAGAGGGGCACTGGGAGCAGTTGATGACATATATGAAAATGATAGAAAATAAGCTGAATGGACCCCAGATAGAATTATAATAAAGTAAGGCTAGATGGGACTTCTGGATCATCCCCCCACACCTGCCCCATACAATTCCTTGTCTAACCTATTCCTTGAAACTACACAGTTAACCCTGTTCTACACCTATAAGGCATATTGCCCAAAGACACCAAAAGTACCCTAACTTGCATCAGGTAAAGCAGCAAGAGAAGGGTTGTCAGTGTCCCGTCACTGCAAGAATTGTTAAAATACACTTAAACGATCTACACTGCAGAAGAAAGTAAACCCCACACAGTCTGTACCAATCTGAACATGGGGTAAAATTCCTTCCTCACCCCAAGTATGGTTATTGGTCTGACCTTGAGCATAGGGGCAAAACCCTCTAACTAGGAACTTCTGGATTTTAGTCCCAGGAGGCATACTGGCACCCCCAAATCAAAATCCCCAGCCTTGTCATCAGCCAATATCCAATACTTCTAAGGAAAGTGAAAAAAATCCCTGACTCCTGTAGCAATGGGAAGGGGAAAAAAATCTGTCTTTGCCTCATTGGCAACCTGCTAAGCCAAGAAACATGGGAAAAATAAACATGGTGTTTTAATTTGTGTGGTCTGGTATGGTCTGGTGATGATGAGGTCTGTGTTTATGAAAGGGAATAACTTGCATCTAGGGCTGTAGCAAAGGCTGGTGACTTGGTGAGAACTGGAGTTAGGTAGTTAATTGTTGTAGAGATGTCATTTGAGCTTGGGATGCTGCCTGTAAACTAGACAGGCTTGTCCCCCCAAACTCTCTTGCAATAGTCATCATTGTGCAGGTGGGGTTAAAAGTCGTTAATGATGTGTGAGAGGTATTCAAGTTAGGTGCTGTAGGTGATGACCAGAGAGATTGTGTTGTCCTTGTCAGAGCGTTGGTGCTGTAATAGGTCAGCAAGGTCTGAGTATGGCTGTATTGATTTTTGAGTGGCTGTGGTTTGAGGATTGTATTGTAAGTATAGGAAACCCTGTTTCAGGTCCCTAAGGTATGCATCCCAGTTGGTGGGATCAGAGCAGGTATGGTTGTCATGTAGGGTTTGGCTGTAGACAATGAATCTATTGGTGTACTTAGAATGAAAGCTAGTGGAATGAGGTAGCTGTGGTTGATAAGTTTCCAGTAAAAAGTGGTGGTGATGTGGCTATTGCAAAGTTTTACAGTGGTGTCCAAGAAATGAATTTTCCAGGAGGAATATTCAAGATTCAGTTTGATGGAAGGTTGAAAGTTGTTACTTTTCTAGTAGAATTTTTGTAGAGCAGTGGTTCTCAACCTTTTCAGACTTGAAGCACACTTTCTCAGACTCCAGCCATCCCTCCATAATTGTTGTTAATTGAGTAGCAACCCATTAAAAAAATAATTGATATATTACACACCTTACATCCTTGCAGAAGTGGGGGTGGGGGTGGAAGCACAAATCCTGTTGTGTGCGCCCAGAGGTTGCATAATTCTCTATGGGATTGTTCTGGGAGGTCTGTTGCCAGGAATTTTTAAAACTCATGTTGGAAAGTTGTCTCCTGGCCTCTTGTATATATGCTGTTTTGTTCGTGACAGCATTGGGACACCCTTTATCAACCTGTGTATGATAATATCAGGGTTCTTTTTAAGGCCAGGTATGGTGAAATTGATGGGGTAGAATGCTTCCAGGTTACCTGTCAGCAAACCACATAGGTTGTATACAGTGTCTGCAAGAGGCGGCTGTACTATATGAGAACTTGTCACTCAGCCCTTCAAAATTTTGGTGATGTTGTACAGATGGAGCTGCAGCAGACTGTGGGGAGAGGCCTGGAGACACCTACAGAGAAGCTACCACAGACAGGACTAACCATGTTGCCAGAGCATGCAGCTAGGGCTCTTCCTATACAGCACATTACTTACCAAATGGTCATGGCCATGGGGTGCAAAAGCATGTCACATTTTGCATTCTTTTCCTGCCCTCTTCAGTACTACCACAGAAGTGCCATCCTGTTCCTTAGCCTAGCACCCAGCTATTTACAGCTGTCCTTGGGGGTTTCCTTCCAGTCTCCTGGTCTTGCCTGTTTAGAGGCACCGTGTTCTCAGTCTTTGACTGGCCTACCATGTCTCCCCCTCACCTGTCCCTGCATCCTTACAGGTTGTTCCTTCTTGTTTTTATTAAACTGCAACCCTCCACCCCATAATGCCTACAGGTAACTTGAGTGCCTTAGATATTGCTCCATCTGCTCTGTTGGGGATCTCCTCCACCTACACCTGTGTGTGGCTAACATGCCCTCTTTCATGCACTTCAGTGGTTAATATACTGCTAAGCAGTTCAGCAGCTGCACCTGGAGCAAGTGTCATTGTTCTGCTGGTCATGCTTTTTTATGACTTCAGTTTCTAACCTACTGTGGGCCAGTGTAGGCTATAGGTGGCCAGGGAAATAGAATCACTCCAGGAAGCAAGGGGCTACTTCACACCTCTGAAGATTTACCATAGCTCTAATGACCAGGCTCAATAGCCACCCTGATTCTATTGCGTAAAATAAAAAAACACAAACGCAAACACATAAGTAACCACACTTAGATGTGTGTGTGTATGTAGGGAGGGGCAGAGTGTGTGTGTGTGTTCATAGGGTGAGTTCCACATGCACACTCCCATGTACACATGCCCCCCCCCCCTCGGACTGCCATACATGCAGACCCCACACCTTCCCCTCCACCCAGCCACCCTTCCCCCCCCACAGAGCTCCTCACAAATCCCAT